GGAACTCAAAGGAATTTTACCTACATATCCCTCAATATACTGATACTGATACCCACCGATCGTCTTACCCCTGGCTTGTCATCACAGAGAGGTGGGTTAAAGAGGAACGGCAGAGTGCGGAGCTGCTGTGGATTGCGTCCCTCCATGAACAAATTTATGCACATATCAGTGGTACTGTCTCCACTCCATTAGATGCGCGGGGATGTCGTTTATCGCGATGCGTACTCGTACTCGCAGTTCGCCACAGACCCACGTACTTAAAAATGCCTCGAGCTAGGCTTCCGTTACTTGCTACTATTGGCGGGCAAATTGGACCTCTGACTCATATCAAGTAGCATTTAGTGTAAAGAGTTATCGTGACTTCGGCTAGTATGAGTCCTTTGTTCTTCCGCCATTTCAGCCTAGCAAACCACCTTGAAGCATTTGGGTATCCGGTTTATAAGGCGCCTAGGATTTTCTGTCCTAGAAGTTCACCTCTCGAATTGCAGATCATGTCTTTGCATACGTTGTTCGTAGCTTTAGACATTGCTGTTAAAACTGGTTTTCATAAGTCTTCTGTCACTGACTCCCTATTTTTCATTCTGAGAGAGGGAGAGAGGGAGTAATGTGCTCGATTTCGAAAGCAGCATTCAACATGTTTAACAGTTATTCCGTAGAGGGAAGAACCTTCATCCTCTTTACTCATATTCATTACTGCAATGCACAAATTTGCTGACATTCGGACTTTAGTGTCTGGGGGTCGAGGAATGCAGACAATCGGACTTAATGTTCGAAGACAATATCGGCTTCTCACTACTGAAAAGAAAGGAAATAACTATAGCGCAAGAAGTGCGAGAAGCGATTTCCTCTTTATACAGGGTGACCCAAAAATGTATACACATTTTGAACAATTGTTACCTTGATGTTTATTATAATTTTGTTACTTTAAAATGTTAAAGTATTCGGAAGTATCATTTTATTGCTTTTCCACTGCATTTTGACTATATTTAAATAATTGAGAAAGAGAGAAGCCATTGTAAAAGAATGCATCCAAATACGAATGGAATTGTTTCATGGTGTGTGCGATTCCATTGCCTCGGGTTTTCTGCAGTGTCTGGATTAAATGGACGTCTGTTTGAGAACATGCAGTGAAAAAACAACAAAATGATACTTGTAAATAGTTTTACATTTTTGAAATAGTAAAATTACAATAAACACCAAGTTTACAATAATTTAAAATGTGTATGCATTTTTTTGGGACACCCTGTAGTTCGGATACAGAATAGTGAAACTGGTTGGTTGATTGACAACAAACTGCTAGGTTTCTGACAAACACCTCCTTCCAACGAAAAAAATCTGACATTCCAATTGGTTCAGAGCTGGCATGTGTATGCACTGCGTTTTTCATATTAGAGCACAATTGAAGCAACAGGGCATGCCGGCTCATTTAATTGGCTCGACCAAATGTCACTGTGGCGCCATTGTGCACCTGGTATTTCTCATCAGGCAGACTATTCAGCCAGCTAACCCACTAGTGCGCTGTCAACATGGCTTCTCAACCAACCTACCTAACCCTCAACAGCGGTTACAGAATGCCCCAAGTCGGTTTCGGCACGTTTATGGTTGGTTTTCCCTTAACTTGTCCAGCTTCAGGGAACGCCCGGCGAAGGAGAAAATCCTGTTCTTTGCGCGATTGACGCAGGTTATCGACTGATCGATTGTGCACATCTATACGGCAATGAAGGTGAGGTTGGTATAGCAGTCAGGAAGCGAATTGACGATGGAACTATTTCTCGAGAGGATATTTTTATATCATCCAAAGTATCCACTTGCGAAATCTCTTACATTTAATATAGTTATGGTGCGATGCACATCGTCGAAGCGACGTGCGTCCGGCTTGCGAGGATAGCTTGCGAAGGTTTGGACTGACGTACTTGGATTTATATCTTATCCACTTTCCGGTGCCTTTAAAGGTTAATTCG